TGTTCAAAAGACTGTGTAACTGATTCTTATTAGAACGTGATCATATATTCAGCAAACATGGTTGACAGAGGCATACAGTATATGAATTAATCCTTGCCATAGCATCTTTTGAAATGGGATGGAAGGTTACATGCTCATTATAATGACATGATTTGTGAGAGCGCACATATTTTTTTTTTTTTTTTTTTTTTAAGTAAAATCAACTTCCTACTCCCTTGGGATGGAAATCCAAAGACCATAAGTGTTTATCACTCTGCTTGGCTTATTTTGCTAGTAAATCCCTTTTCCTATAATTAAAGGGGCTTGAATGTTTCTAACTGATGCCAAATCCAATCTGAACCACCTACACAATTCTTTCCAATCCCCACTTCCCACCACTATCTGGTATTTTGTTTGCACAGTCATTATTCATTAATTGTTTTCATGACCAGGGAATGCAAACAGGGAAATCATATTAACAAGTAAGAGCTCTAACATGTGGTGATGAAATCTGTACTTTTTTTCCCTTTCTCTTTTTCATGGTCTTTTCATACACAAGCCAAAAATCTCTCATGGCTATGAGGCAAACAGTTTTATTTGTGCATGAGTACTAACATGTGATATTTTATTCCATAAAAAAATCTTTAATTCTTGCCATTGTTCCCACTGAAATTAAGCTAGTTATAATTTATGTGTAAGAAGCTACTGAGCTCATCCATTACAATTGGAGAGGCAAAATAAATCTTCTTGGCACTAGGATTTTATAATAATAATATTAATAATAATAATAATAAAAGGCAGTCAAGTATATTCTTTCTTCTCTTTGCCTTATTCTACTCACAAGGTTTTTCTGCAGTTTCATGTTTTGGCTGTGTCCTTTTGTCCAGAAGTTTTGCCCTATTCTTATGCGACTGTCATTGTATCACCTGGTGTGTGGTAATGTGAGTAGGCCATAAGGCTCACTCTAGGACTGTATAAGAATTAAGTCCCTGGCAAAATTCCCATCGACTGAAATGGCACAAAATTTGGGCCCTAAATAAAGTAATTTCTTGTACCTTCCCTGTTTCCATTTTTTGGTCAGTTGTAATCCTAAATTTTTAATAATAACCGTGCCTCATTCTTACTTAGAGCTTTTTACGAGTAGACCTCAAAGCACTTTTAAAAACAGAAGTGAGTATCGTTGTCATTTTACAGATGAAGAAACAGAGGATTAGCAAGGAGGAATGAGTTACTTGAGCAGCCCAGCAGCACACATGGAAATAAAACTTAGTTCCTATGAATTGGCCTAGTCCTCTGATCATGTACAACTCTGCTTTCCCCAGTTCCATCACCCTAAATAGATGGAAGCACAGCTCACTTTAACATGAGTCTCATATACTGTACTCTAAAGTAGTGTTTGGTTGGGGGTGGGTGGGGGGGGGGGTGTTGTTTTGTTTAAAGTATGCTGTGTTTAATGAAAAGTAAAACTAGAAGGATTGATAACATCCTGACTCCATTACATATGGGACATTTGAAACATAATGTAGGACTTACACAAAAGACAACTCCATAAAGGTAAGATGGCAAATCAACTCCTCTGCCTTGTTTTATAATACATCCATGGTTTTGTGATTCCACTGAACCAGTCTGTAATGTAAATTATATTATGAATCAGATAGAGTTTAAAATAAATCTTAACCTGAAAACCACTTTTTGGGACTCACCATGGAAAAAATGGAATGGAATATCTCGTATCAGAAATATGTATTGAATTAATTACCATAAGAAGCCCATCTTCTTTTTGTCTGCTTCCCCTGTGCCCCATGTCCCCCAAAAAACTCATGCAAAAATTTAAAAAAAAAATGCACAAAAGAAAGCACAAAGAAAATGCAACAGTTACTTCTGGTCTTGTAAGATTTAATAAACTGATCAGTTCCTTGCATAATTAAGTCACAAAGCAAATGATAAATGTTGTGCTCTGCTTGTAAACAAGAAGAAATAAAAATAAACTGGTGGAGATATCAAGTGAAAACCGAGGAGATGGCAATGTCTAGGGAAGCTAAATTGGTTGAAGGTGCATAATGTCAGATTCAGGCAAGGGCAATCATCCAAAAGAAAATGGAATTGGATCCTTGTGAATATAAAAAGAAGTTGTGGCATGTTCTTTAATGCTTTGTCCCCCTCTTTAGATTTCATTTTCTGTGTTCTACTCTTTCAGTTATCTAGAGTTTTATTTACTGTATTTCTTATATCTATCACTAATCTTTTGCAGGCAGTGGCTCCTTGGGTGTTGCTATCCTGGGCACTATTTCTAGGGTCTGTTTTCAAGTCATCTGTCTCATGCTTTCCCTATCCCATTTTTTAATTTTTCTTCATTGATCTTCTTCTCCTTTATTTTCTTTCTTTTCTCTCTTGTGGTCCTTCCATTTATTCCCTTTCATTCTAGCCCCTATGCAACTTTCTTTTTCAGGATACCTTTTGTTTTTTTTACTGATATCATTTGCCCATGATCCCTCTACATGGTGGGAAAGCAGCTATGTTGGCTTGCATACCCTTAGGGCCAGACATACAGTGCCTGTTTGCCTTTGGGCCTCCTGGCCTGCCTGCAGAAATGGTAGAATAGAGGAGGGAGAAGATGTGCTACAGAATTGACCTAGGAGCGTTTACTTCCCATAAGAAATCAAGGTGTGAAGCAGTGGACATCCCCCTCCCTCCCCCTCCCCCTTTGCACTCTGTATTAGTAGTAACTGCCCAGAGTTGTCTCTATGTGCAGTGTCTATGAGCCATGTATTTCCCTATTCTAGCAAACTGGGGGAGGCCAGGGGTGGGGAGGAGGAAGAGGAGAGGATGACATGGTGCACTGCTACAAGTTATTCACACAAATATTGGGGGGGATATTCTCTGATATTCCTGTACAGTCTTTCTGTTACTGTAATGAAGGGTTATCCAACTTCTAAGCAACTGGGAGCTGCACACCCCACTGGCTTCTCCAGCATGGGCTGCACCACTTGAAGTGGTTACAGCTGCTCATTTCCCCTGCCCCTGCACCATGTACTTCACCATCAGCTTTCCAGCTGTGGGCTCTCCTGCTGCAGGCACCCCTGCTGCAGCATGCTTCTTGTGCACCATGCTCCAGGCCACTAGCTCTCCTGGTAGTACGGGCTACCCTCCCTCTGCCCCCTGGGATGGGAACATGCAGTGGAAACTGGAGGAAGAAGGGGGAGCCCTGGGGCCCCAGCTGCTGCAGCAGCTGGAGCTAAAGGGCAGGAGCAGCTGGGTGGGAGCTCATGGACTGCCATTTGGACAGCCCTGCTAAATGAATCATGTTCCAATTTTACACTCCCACCTTTCACATCCTTCAGAATCCTCTTTGTGCAGATAATTGGAGAATGAAATGTTTTAGCCTGAAACGTATTTGGAAGGCGGTTGACCATGTGAAGCAGTGGATTGTAATGGATACTTACTGGTAGCTGTCATGACTCCCATGATACTTGTGCCCATAGGGATGAGTTCTGCAGATCAAGTCTGGGGTGGCTTCAGCAGGATTAAGGCAGAATAAATCTGCAGGATCAGCAAAGCTGGTATTTTTAGAAGCAGGAAAACAAACCCTAACAAAAGTTGCATTTCTTTGTAATTGTAAGAGGAAATTCAACTTAAATTATAAGTTGAATTTACTGAGCTGTGAAGTTTGTACTGTAAGTGTGAAGCTGAATACTGATTTCCTTTTCTCCTTTCCAGTGAATCGTCTTGGGCAACAGAATAGAGACAGCAGCCACTTCATCTAAATCAGGCAGTGGAAGGGGCAGGATCTCTCCATGCAATAGTGGTGTCAAAAGAAATGGAGGCTTGAACCCAGGCCCATAGGATTTGCATAATTAATCACTGGTGAGTTATGTTTGAATGTGGTCTCATTTGTGTGAAGGCTGAAACCTTTAAACAATCTCTTTGAACCTGAGAGGTGGAAGGGTTACTAGACTCTGTTCCTTTGCCAGATAATTGACTGGTTGGTTTCAAAGAGAAGGAGAGTTGTCCAGGCTACCAGTTAATCCTAGGAAATCCTGACTGTACACATTCACAAAAATACTTTTTTCCTAAAATGAATAACTTTCGGGTGAAGCCAAACTTGAAAGAAAAGACAGAAGCTGCAGCAGTTGGTGGATTGTGTTAAACAGCAACAGCTTACCTTTTTTAATTGAATAGTTGTTTTATACCCTGAGTATAATGCTACATGGTCTGAGAGTACAAGCTGTGAGGCTCTGATAAGAGAAACACTGACTGGCTGCTGTCAAGTTGAGGATGATTAAATGTGTCAGGTCTCCCCCTCTCTTTGACAAGAAGACTAAAGTCCCTAAAGCCTTTTATGTAACTGCTAGGAAAATGTTTTCCTTCACAACCTTTCCCCCCCCCTTTCTTTTTTTTTTCTTTAGGTCTTTCAATTGCATACGTGTGCATGTGTAAACCATCCCCATCTCAGGCAACCTTTTGGGGATGCTCTGTAAGAAAACAGCCTAATGATGTAACCCTCCCAGTGTAATCTCTGTTATCAGTTTAGTATCTGTTATAGCCTCTCTCTATGGATAATACCCAACACTCATTTGTAGATAGGCTCCAGTGGATTTCTCCCATCTGTAATTTACTTGGTAAAGCAGCAGCAGCAATCTGTTCTTTTTAGAAATTGATGACACTGCTGTTCCAGGAGACTGCACGTGTGGAACACTGCAGCACAGCTTACAACACTCTTCTATATTTATAGTATTGTCCTGCCAAGCTCTTTATGCTCTTCCCAACTAGTTTTGCAGAAGTGAATTGTTATTGGTGAGTGTTAGCGTGATTTGGAAAGACTTTAACTTTTTTTGTCTTCTTATTGGGTTTACCCTTCAGTGTGCTTGCATCTGAAAACATCTTTCAGTAACTAGGGAGGGCAGACCTTTATGGAGCCCCACTGGTTTCAGAGCAGTTCAGCATCTGCTTGTGGATGTTCCCAAGATGATGATATTGCAAAACTGAGTCCTTAAGAACATGTAAAGTTAATGGTGCTCCTTAAATATTCCCTCTAAGAAAATATTTGAGTGGATTGAATCTCAATGTAATTACAAGCTGATTTGGAAGTTATACTTATCTGGAAAAATATAGCTATATGCAATCCTCGATTAGTACCAAAAGATGGAAAAGAGAGATTAGTACCAATTGATAGAAAAAAAATAAACTGGTAGAAGATAAAGATTTAATACCTAATAAAACCAGGCTAAAAGTTGAAAGCCTTTAACCAATGGAAAGTTTGGAGTGCCAGTTTTTTCACTGTTGTAAATGTAGATTGCATTTTTGGTAAATCATAAGCTACTTTGCCCTTAAAATATCATAGTTTTTATTAACCTTGTGATTATTTTCCCTGCCTCAGTACCAGCATAGTAGCTGCTATCTTGAGAACTGCTTAAGGAAAAATTGTTTTGTGTTTTCTGAGAGCTTAGAGCCCCAGTTCTCAAATAATACAACAAATTTCTTCCTAAATCTAGTAATGATTAAGTGGGGAAGAGGGGAGGGAGTTGGTAAAATTGTCAAAACTGAAGTATGGGTGGAAAAGGGTGAGAGAAATGAGATTATAATGGAAATGGTAAGATTTTGTTTGTTTGTTTGTTTGTTTGTTTGTACAGGAGGATGGGGGGGGCGTTATTTTCTAAGCAGGGCAGATGCCTTTTTAAAGTTTCCAAGTATTACAGACTGGGTTTGTGCAATGAGCATGTCTTATCTTTTAGTCACAGAGCCTATATAAATCCTATTCCTTATTTCTAGGTTAAATAATTCTCTTGTAGTTGAGGTGATAAGGCATCTGTACTTTGGCCTTGAAGGTTTCAAGATCAAGAACCACTGGTGACCATGATATCTTTGGCTGCAACTTATTACATAAGCTCTGGACCTTTAGGACATAAATGGAGAAGTTAAAGAAAAATAAAAATGAGAATCAGTCTCAAATCAGAAAGTATATCTTGGGTTACTTATGGTTTTGGGCCTTTGAAACCAAATATAGCTGGGATACAGGTTGCAAATTTATTTTGCAAAATAACTAAAATTGTTAGCAATAATGTATCATGAATAACATTGATGTGATTCAAATTGCCTCTATTATTTAGGTATGTTAATCTATCCTGTTGTCTCTGCTTTGCTACTGTTGTTGTATAAAAATGCACTTGCATTCAAATGCATTTTTCTTATTGCAAAAGATCTGATCAAGAAAACCCCCCTTGCTGGCCCAGGGTTTTAGGCACATTAAAGATAGCAAGCAGCTAAAGAGTTGTCCATTTACGTTTTGCTTTAGACTGTATTGCTCTGTATTTACTTACAAAAGCAATATTTTACTATGTAGTTTTTTGGTTCCAAGTTTCATCTTTATCTGTAGTTTATATTGTTCAATGCAAAATCCTCCCTGGTCAATTTCTTCATTCTTTGCATTTACTATACCTTTTATCCTAAGCACTCAAATTATCACCATTCTTCCAGTAAAATCAGTGTTATATAGAGATGACATGACAGTACAAATACTTGCAATAAACTATAAGAGTGGAAAGCATAAAGTCTGCATGAGTCTGGCTATGTGAAGAGCTGATGGCAGGGGTAGAAAGATAGATTATGTCAAATCCTGTAGCTTTAAGCCTAAAATCAACAGAACTATTTTAGACTTTTGTGGAACTGAGATCAGATTTTTGAATGGCAGCATTTGATCATTTGATCTTGCAAGCCAAACTGCCCTGAATAGTTCCAAAATTTAGCAAAGATTACGGACATTCTCAGTCCCTCATCTCCATAAGATTTTCTGCTCCTTCTGTTTCATCCCAAACATTGCTGGATTGCAAAGATGATGCCCTTCAATTTAACATGATAGAAATTTCAAACTATCTAAAATTTACTTGCGACCAATGGTCAATGATGACTGGATTTTCAAACCAACAAAAAATATTGGTTAATCAGTGGCTTAAACTAACAGCTCTTGTTTTCATAAACTTTGCTTACAACCATAGAAGTGTAAGAGTTGGATAGATATCTGGTGGTCAGTATTGAGCTTTTTTTTCCTTAAAAGAATATAACTTTAATTAACTTTTAGAATTTGCCATTATTAAAGGGACCTTATTTACTCATATCAGCCTGTTTCTGTATGTCTCTGGAAAATGTCCCAAGAGTCATCAGCAGGGACCCACATTTTCCGTTTCCCGTGGAAAAATGGAAAAAAAAAAAGTGCAGATTTCTCATTTTACCAGAGGAACTTGTGGATTTTGAAGTTTTGCCAAGAGCTCTCTGAAGGCTGGGAGAGTTCCAGCCTGCAAGGGGCTGGGGGGAGCAGGAAGAGGGCAATCAGGCAGGAGGCACCATGTGTATGTATATGCACATGGCTGCTAGGCAGCCTGGAGAGTAACTTCTGCAGGTAAGTCGGGGGGCTGCGGGGGGGATTGAGGCCCCTATAGGGAGGGAAGGAGTTGGGCAGAGCCCAACTGGGCGGTGCATGGGGCTTGGCCTCCAATATGCAGTTGCTTGGACTGCAATATGCAGCTGCTGGGCCCCAGTGGGGAGTGGGACAGGACTGTGGGTTGCTCGTCCGGGGAGCAGGGGCTGGCATTCCCTGGCACTGTGTGCTCTCCTGGGGTGCAGGAGGGAACCCATGTCCCCCAGGTTTGTGCATGAGGCAGGGACAGAGGGCTGCCCACTGTAGGCTTAGGCTCCCTGCCCTGCTGCCCTCCCCTGGGGCCTCCCCAGCTCAGTGGGTGTGACCCAGCACTGCAGGGAACAGTGGGGCTGCAAGAAGAAGCTCCTTGCTGCTGCAAGTCCTGCACTGCTCTGGTGAGGTGTCCCTTGCCTGTGTGGCAGCAGCAAGTGGCACAACCCTGCACTGTCATGCCTGCTGTAGCCATACAGGCAAGGTTGCCTTGCTATGGCAGTGCAGAGCTTGCAGCAGCAAGGAGCTTCCCATTGTAGCCCTGCTGTTCCCTGCAGCACTGGGTCCCACCTGCTAGGCCGCTGAGGCCCCAGGGGAGGGCAGCAGGACAGGAAGGTGGCCTACAGCAGATAGCCTGGTCCCACCCTGCGCACAGATCTGGGCAGCATGGGTTCCCTCTGGCCCCCCCTCCCCCTCCCCCCGGAGTGTGTGCAGCAGCAGGTAGCTGGCCCACCCCTGCCCAAGCCTGCAGTGGGGGCGGAGGAGGGGGCCTGGGCTCTGTACTCAGCTCTGCTGCAGCAGCCACAGCCTCCTGTGAGGTGTCAACCTGGGTCCCTGGCTCTGCAGCCCTGGCAGCTGGGGGCCCCCTCCAGCAGGAGGGCTGGGGTGGGCAGGTGGCTGTGCGGGGGTGGCTAGGGGCACCAGCAAGGCAGGGTTGGGGAGTGAGAGGCACCAGCAGGGCCAGGGGGCTGAGAGGGGGCGGGAATGAGTGGCACCAGTGGGGCTGGGGGAAGTGAGGGAGTGAGGGGCATGGACATGTGTTCTGTGAGCTAAGGGGGCAGAAGGAGCTCTGCTTTTTCATAATAAAAAACCCTAACTCAAATGTCAAAATTTATAAGTATTTAGAATTTATTTTATTGTGTTCAACTGATACTTGGATATATAGTGACCTTTCATTTTAATCATGGATTTTTCGGTATTTATCAGAGAATTTGCAATTTTTTAAAAATTATTTTATATATTTTATCAGGGTGAAACCAGGATCTCTGGTCATCAGCTGTGTGTTCAGTTTCAAAATACTCAATCCTCTGTCCTGCTTTTAAACCCAAAAGGAAAGGAAAAATAGCAGATGGTAGTGGTGGTTCAGTATTTTCAGATGTCAGTGCTGGATTCATGTTCTGAGAAATACCCGTGTGGACTCTGCATGCAGAGTGGCTGATTGTGCATGTATTATCTGCCCTGCTAAGGATAGAAATCACGAACGAGAACTACTTTTAATATAGGGTTGACAGTTTTTGTTTTCAGAGTATGCTTTTTGTTCTGTAGTTCTGAAGGTTCAAAGACTGTCAGGAACAAGAGACAGAAATCATAATCTCTTCCCTCCAGTGACTAAAGTAATCATGCTTTCTTTCTTAGGTGGCAGAGGATGGGCTGACAATACCCTTTAATCTGTACTGAATTCCAAATTATTTTACTGTCTAAGGTTTTCTTAATGTATCCGAAGTCTGAAGCTCCTGGGACCACAGCTGAGGTTGGGGAGGTGGGGAAGAGAGACTGTCCATGTGCTAATAAGATACGTATCCTCCATTATTCCTCCCCCCCCCCCCCCCCCGGTAAAAAATTGTTCTCTAAATAAATTTGCCTGTAGTTTCTTGCCTTTGAGTCAGATTCTTGCCTTGGGTAACTATAAGTAGGTTTGCTTTGTTTGGCAGTATTTTTTTTCTATGTAGAAGTGACTGCTGTAATTTTAAATATTTATAAAATGTTTTACCTCTGTCCCATAGATATGGAATTTGCTTTAACTCTAACACGGAAAGAATAAAAATTAGCCACCTCTGGCCAGTGTCTTATAA